ACTGTCACATATTCTTTTGAACTACAACGACATCGGAGGATAATCTCCTATCCGATCATGCGGGCAGGATCTTGATGATCTGAAACTTCCAAAAAGCAGGTTTTGGCGACTCACAAACTGGCCTCCTTAGAATGGAGGTAGCCGACTCAGTTTTGCACACATCTGGATTTTCTTTTTTTTAGAAGACAGCCCAGATGCCAGGCTAACATCGTGTGAGGTCAGATTTGTGAATATCACTGAGGTTTCCTATGTACACAGGTTTTAAGGGAAAAAATCATAAAATCAACTAGAAAACCTTAAATCCTCAGGCCTCGAGTCCCACTTACCATGTAAGCCTCTCCTTCGGAGAGCGTCCCGCAGGGACGCGGGGTCCCTTCGGGACCCTCCGATCGAGAGGCTTAGTTAAGCTCGGGCAGTGGCATAAATCAATTCAGCCAAAGGGAGAAAGAAAGGACAGCCCCGATACCCGACTGAGGGAATACTCCCACGGTCTACCCGACGAACAAAACTTCCGATCGAGATCACTGAAGGAAGTCTCAAGTCAAGCAACCAACATCTTCCTTCGATAGCATGCTAGCAACATCGAGCGTGATGGCCGCCTGGATGGCCGTAAGGGTCGGGCTCGAATCTGGTCTGGCCCCAGGGGTCATGGACTGGATATCTCATCGTCCCGAGTTGGCAACACCAGTCACTGGCTGGAAACAACGTTAGTTCACCTCTTTCCTATTGGGATACATAGCCTTCCTCGACATGCTCCGTTCTTTTCAGTCGCCTGATTTATTGATGCTGAGTTGATTGGTTTTGAATACAAGTCAAGGAAGGAATTTACTTATTTCAGGAAGGTCTGGATCCGTATGACAGCGGGGTATTCCATCAAGTTGAGGCTTGCTCCGTTTGTATGAGGCCTCCGGTCGAAAGAACAATATAAAGTGGAAGATTGATTAGTCACCCGGTTCGGATGCTTGCTTAGTCTCCTCTATTGCTTCACCTCTTCTCGTTCGTCCATTCGCCAATCCTCGTCGCATCGGTCTACGGGTTAGTCGACTGCTATTCTGCGTGGATCTTACTCCGTCTGTTCCGATCAAAATGGCCGAGACTCACGGGGCCTGTCAAGTCAATGAAGTTAAATGAGGATCGGTGGATGCTCAGTCCGACTTATCAAATCGACGATTGGCAATTAATCCTATTGTCAGTAGGTGAATTGCTGTTTGAGAATCAATGACATCCATCCAACCCTTATAACTGATTTTATTTACCCCTTTAGCTACCTATTCTCACCCCTAAACATATTGACGAGTCTGTCGAAATCAACGGTCGTCTTCAACAATCTTGCAATCCTACTTGCGCTTGATGGCGCTCTTCAAAGTTCGCATTCCCAGCTCTCCTTCGGATCCTCTCTGATGCTATTCTAGTCTAATGACCTACATTATCATTCGTATTGCACCCCATCCAGACCGGATGGCGTTTTCGATGTTCTCTCTATCCATCGGAACACATTTGAGTGTATATCCGGTTCTTCTGGTTCCCAGTTGTATCGGGATTATTCTCAACGCAGAAGGTCTCCAAATCTAAAACAGTAAGTAGCTCTGC